TGGGGTATATCTCCTTAATTTTTTATTGCATGTGGATTTATCATTGTTTTTTATACACAACACCAAATTTGTATATAGATTTTAAGAAGCGGAAAAACTACATATCATGATATAATTATGACTAGAGACTGGATTATATGCAAAATGCATGTGCATATATATGCAGCATATTTGTGGGTTTCTTTATAAATGTATATGCTATTTATATTTACTTGATTAAGAGCATATTGCCACATTTTTGAAAATATCACATAAATAAAATGGTTTTCTATACATATTTAGATATAGTTTCTGGGAATTATTCATAGCAGGTACTAGGTAAGTAATAGTAACTACGAAATAATTTTATTACAAATATCTACTAAATCTACAAGTTTTATTGTTTGGGAAAACCTGCAGGTAGGTGTTATACAGTAAATTCGTTTTTAAATTCTCTTTACCAGCTAATAAAGCAACTGATGATTGTGAATATTGTGCTTATAAAATAAGAATAATTTCTTTTTTGAAAATAATCCAAAAGTAACGAAACAAAAATCTAGTCTATTGCGGAGTTGGGTTACTGGCAACAGTGAAATGAAGATTATAGACAATGAAAGTGTTTTCTGTGCTATTTGTGATAAAAAGGTGAGTCCACTTATATTTTAACCATTCAAAAATTTAATTTAAAATCTCATTTTTTGCAAGAAAATCGATATACCCATACTAAGTTTGACTATTTACAGTTGACATTGACACTTTAAGTTCACAGTTTGACTATTAGAGGTAGTTTTAATTTCGAGATAAAAATATGTTATGTTAAAAATTTGAAGTCCATATTATTGCATTAGAGTGTTTCATATTTACTAAACCGTTTTATTACAGATTCCATGTGAAAAAAATTCCAAATTTCTCAACACCTGAAAACGGATCTCCACCAATATAAACTATCTAAGGACTTCAAGAAACCACGCCAGCAGCTTCTACAGAACAACATTATTCAAAATCGTCACACATCGACGGGGCAAGAAATACTTGCAAAAGATATATACAATAAGTTGCAATATCCCACTGTCTAAATTGGATAGCAAGGTGTGTCAACATATTTTGAAAACATCTTCTAAAGTTGAAAATAAGTCAGTACAAGTACCAAGCTCTTCAACTCTTCGCAAGAAATATGTGAGGGAATCTTACAAAGACGTTATTGAAGATATTAAGAGATGAATATCTAGGGATATCTGTCGACGAGATTACTGACGCCAAGGGTCGGCAAATCGCGAATTTAATTATTGGAGTTTTAAATAGTTCAGCAGATAACTCCAACAAGTCGTATAGATATATAAAAGATATATACAATAAGTTGCAATATCCCACTGTCTAAATTGGATAGCAAGGTGTGTCAACATATTTTGAAAACATCTTCTAAAGTTGAAAATAAGTCAGTACAAGTACCAAGCTCTTCAACTCTTCGCAAGAAATATGTGAGGGAATCTTACAAAGACGTTATTGAAGATATTAAGAGATGAATATCTAGGGATATCTGTCGACGAGATTACTGACGCCAAGGGTCGGCAAATCGCGAATTTAATTATTGGAGTTTTAAATAGTTCAGCAGATAACTCCAACAAGTCGTATTTAATCAGCGTAAAATGTTGAGAAAAAACCAACTATGCAACAATTGCTCGATTTATTAATGAATCTTTGACAAATTTCTTTTTACCGAATCCAGTACCTTCTGAAAAAATTTTGCTACTAGTTAGCAATGCTGCTTCCTACATGGTTAAAGCTGTTACTAGTTTTAAGATTTTTTTTCCGAATTTGATTCATTATACATGCTTAGCGCATGGTTTAAACAGGGTGGCAGAAAAAGTTAGACTCGAGTTTTCAAATGTAAACACTTTAATCAACAAGATAAAGAAAGTATTTTTAAAAGCACCTTTGCGAGTAGAAGTATGTAGGGAGATAGGCTTCTTGATATCCCTTTGCCACCGAAACCAGTGTTGACTAGATGGGGGATGTGGTTGAACAGTGACATATTTCTTGCAAATAATTATATTGATATCAAAAATGTTATATCAAATTTTGATCCTTCTTATTAGTCAAAAATTATCTTTAAATGATAGTATTTGAATTGTTGATTCTGTCAAAGAAACAATAGTAAACCTTTCAGGGACAATGGAAAAAAAATTAAAGATAAATTTAGTGAAGTTTTAAGCCAGAATGAAGGCTTTTCTTTATTGCGATCAATAAATAACATAATCAATGGAAGCTTTAACGAAGTTATTAATATGGATCCCTCGCTGGTGTCAAATTTTAGATTTGCGCCAAATACATCCTGTGATGTTGAAAGATCGTTTTCTACATATAAACACATATTAACTGATAGAAGGCATAACATTACTTTTAAAAATATTAAACATTTTATGATTATATACTGTAACAGCAAGAACGAGGACATTTTCTTGTGAATTTTCATTTATATTTTTTTATTAAATGCAGGAATAAACAAATATTCTCTAAGTTATACTATAATTTTATTTCTCACCAAATATCAAGCACTAAAAATTAAAAAATATATTTTTTTAAAGTCCATATATAAATGCATATTGCGTATAATAAAGGCATATTTAGTTACTTTTTAAGTGCATGTTGCATGCATATTTTAACCATTTTTTAGAGCATATAATTCAGTCTTCAATTATGACACAGGTAAATTTTAAATTCTCATTTTTTTAATAGTATTTCTTGTTGAGATCATCTTTAAGACAAATATTTTTACCAGGTTATCGGGAGAAATGAATATGTAAAATTATATAAAGATTGAATATATGAAGATAAAAACAGCCAAAAACAACAAAGCCAGTGGATCAGATCAAATATACAGCGAATGGCTAAAATTACTCTCAAATGACAATATAAAAGAACTCACTGTACTTTTCAATCAAATATATGATACCAGTGAAATTACATCGGACTGGTTAAAATCGATCTTTATTCCTCTACCTAAGAAACCAAACGTTAAGAAATGTAGCGATTGTAGACTCATTAGTTTAATGAGCCATGCCGTTAAAATACTGTTGCTTATTCTTCTAAACCGAATTAACAACAAGTGCGAAGAAATAATTAGTCAAGAGCAGTTCGAGTTCCGGAGATGCCTTGGAACTAGAGAAGCACTATTTTCTATGCAAACACTAATTCAATGATGTTGGAAGGTAAGAAAACCCGTATATATGTGCTTCATTGATTTTGAAAAGGCATTTGATCGCGTTCAGCATACCAGACTAACCACCGCCTTGCAGAGCATCCAACTAGATGAGAAAGACATCAAACTTATTGCCAAACTTTAATGGAACCAAGCAGCCATTATTAATACCAACAACAGAGAATCAAAGCCAATCAGTATTGAAAGAGGCGTAAGACAAGGCTGTATACTATCTCCCACCCTCTTTAACGTGTATTCTGAGAATCTATTTAGGGAAGCTTTCAAAGATCAAAAAATAATTATCATAGGAGGAGAAATAACAATATACGGTACGCCGATGATACTGTGATTCTAGCTGAAAACATCGACGATCTGCAGGAGCTAACCAATGGAGTTGACATGGAATGCAGAAATTGGGGACTGTCGATAAATATCGATAAAACTAAATACATGGTGACCAGTAAAGTGGATATCGGCGCAACCCAACTGATATTAAACCAACAACCGCTGCAGAGTGTTCAGAGATTGAAATACCTTGGATGTTGGATTACCCAAAATCTAGATCCATCCTTCGAAATTCGATGTAGAATTGAACAGGCAAGAAACTCATTTCAAAAATTTAAGCCTCTATTCTCCAATAACTCATTAAATTTGGAAATCCGTGAAAAGTTTACAAGATGTTACGTGTGGTCTGTACTTTTGTATGGATGTGAAACTTGTACTTTAAACGCCGATATCATGAATAAAATCGAGGCGTTTGAGAAATGATTGTATCGACGGATACTATAAATTCCATGGACTAGCAGAACCAGAAATGAAGAAGTTCTTCGAAGAATGGGAAATCGACGAACTCTATTAAATATTATTAAGAGGCGTAAACTAGAATATCTTGGACATATAATCAGAGGACCAAGATATGAGTTCCTTCGGCTAATTGTCAACGGTAAAATCGAAGGAAAGAAATGGATAGGATGAAAGAAACTCTCTTGGTTGAGGAATTTGCGGCAGTGGACAGGTTTGACAGCGGACCAATTGCTACACGTAGCGCAAGACCGAGATCAGATCAGTATAATAATATTATAAGCATGGTAGTCGCCGACGTTCCGTAGGGATATGGCACTCTAAGAAGAGAAGATATAAAGATATAAGAAGCAAATTGTGGTGAATCTTTCTGTTTGTAAGATCTAAATTAATATGTACAATTAAATCTACCTTTGGGTTAAAAATAACTATAGTTTGTATGTAACACAATAGGTTTTGATTTCCCTAATAATCTTCTTTTCTCTTGGACCACTCATAAATAATTGCTAACAGCTTTGCTGAACGAACATACAATATAATTGTTATTGTTTTCTGTTATTTGGCCTTGTATGTATTTTGGTTATTGTTTCCTCTTATTTGTTTATATATTATGTATTTTCGGTTTAAGAGTTTTCTTTGTCACTCGCAGAAAAGAAAAAGTGGTGCCCTTTTTAAAAAAATGTTTATCATCTTTTTTGTTTTATTCTGGTTCTCTGGTATCTCAATATTTCTGGTTTAGCTCTAGTATCTAGTATCTCTAGTATCATCTTCTAATTCTTTTCTAATTTTTTCTTTATCTCTAGTTTTATTTTGGTTTTTTTACTACTCACAGAACTCACAAATCTTCCGACTCTGACCAACGTGGCCTCGTTTTATGTACCTCCAAATACTGTACATCGTATGTTGTATTACAATTCACAGTAATAATAAACTATATCAGGATGCCACAAGAAAATAGCTTCAGATCAATCTAAATATCAAACAAGTAAATGTGAAATTAATATAAAATGAATAATATTACCTATCTCTGTGAGTATTTAATCTAGTATAAACATCCTCTTGTATGTTCAGTGTAGTGAGGTCAATCTGTGGGTCACTCCACATTCTTTCAGCAAAGGCGGCTGCTCGAGGCCAGAGCCTTGCATCCAAAGAACCTTCGTCGAATTGCTCGCTCCAAAGACAAGCTTCGCCTCCTAGGATAAGCTTCTTGTTAACGTACTGCTGCTGCCAGGGCCGATGATTATAAACAGTTTGCCAAGGACGATAGGGGTCACATGCAGCTTCGCCTGTTTCCCGCCATCTGAAATAATACAAACATATTATTTAGATAATTAAATGTCATGTAATAGTAACATAAATATTTAAAATCTTGTATGATAACAATATACCTATACTACATATACTATACTATAAAACTTATAAAGAAATAATTTCAACTGATTAAATATTTAAAATTTATTTAAATTATGCAAAAAAATGAATAAACGTTCTGCTAATTAGTAAAAAAGTAAGGTCTCAAGGAAGATGCAGTGATTTCTCTCTTTACTTACAATTATACTAATTAACAATTAGTCGTCTTACGACTACGTGGAAACTGCATTTTCATACCTCTAAACTTTAATTAAACTTAGTGGCGAAGTCCGTTTCAGGCGACTTTTTTTTGTTTCAATTTAATCACAATAATATAAAACGACAAAGGAAATTGTATTTTGTCGTATTTCTGACCAACAACCTAAATCCAGTATAAAAGACACTGCCAAAGAAAATTTTAAATTAAAATGAAATAAAATAATATATATATATATATATATATATATATATATATATATATATATATATATATATATATATATATATATACAGGGTGAGTGGGGAGGAACGCACCAAACTTTAAGACTGTATAATATACGTAAAAATAAGTAAAAATAACTCATATGTTGTTATTCGATTTTCATTTGTTTTCGAGTTATAGCGATAATAACACAAAGTTGTAACTTAACATTAATTTAATGTTAAATGTTCTTATAATAAATTTTCAAAAATACCACCATTGACCTGTAAGCATTTTCTGCTTCGTCTATGAACATTCAACGTTGCTCTTCTGATTGCGTCATGGTTTGCTCTAATTGTGGCTGCAACATTTTTAATGCGTCGAATTAGTGCATCGTGAGTGTCGACTTTTACCTTGTAAACTTCATTTTTAAACCAGCCCCATAAAAAATGGTCTAATGGTGTTAGGTCTGGAGACCTCGGAGGCTAACTAATAGGACCATTGCGACCAATCCAACGCCTTGGAAATTTTGTATTCAAATGTTGCCTGACCTGACGAGCAAAATGTGCAGGAGCTCCATCGTGCTGATAATACATTTGCATTCTGATATTTAGTGGAATGTTCTGTAGGAGTCCTGGCAATTCATTCTGTAAAAAATTCAAGTACTCCTCTCCTGTAAGGCGGTTCTCAAATATAAAAGGGCCAATTAAATAACCGTCGATCACACCACACCACACGTTTACCGAAAATTTGTGCTGAAAACTAGCTTCAATTGTTGCATGTGGATTTTCATCTGACCATACATGTGAGTTGCGGCTATTATTAATACCGTCTCTGATGAATGTTGCTTCATCGGTAAAAAGTATGCGGGATATAACACGACGATTATTATTTATCCATCGACAAAATTGCATACGGCTGGCATAATCTTCTGGTTGTAGGTGCTGTACACGTTGTAGGTGGTATGGATATAAACCTTGCTCGTGAAGTGTGTTAATTACTCTCGTTTGAGGAATGGCTAAATGAGTACCGATTCTTCGTGAGCTGATCCCTGGATCATCTTCTACTGAATCCAGAATATTTTGTATTTCTTGTAAACTTTGTCGGGGAGCACGTTCCGATATTATTTTATAACTAGGAAGCGTTCCGGTCTCGCATAGTTTGTTGAAAACTCAAATAAATACATTTTTATCTGGAGTTCTCCGATTTGGAAACCGTTGACGATATTCTTCAACAGCAGCTCTACCGTTTCCATTACAAAAGCCATAAACAAACACCATATTTGCATAATCACTATTTGAATAAGTATGTGGCATTTTGCAACAACTTTTTTTATACAAACTGTCAAATAGACATTAAATCACGTTGACACTACACTATTATGACAGTTAACTAATTATTAAACGAATCACAGATACCTGTTACAGCAATGTGATAAGTAGCAGTAAAATTATAACTTTGTGTTATTATCGCTATAACTCGAAAACAAATGAAAATCGAATAACAACATATGAGTTATTTTTACTTATTTTTACGTATATTATACAGTCTTAAAGTTTGGTGCGTTCCTCCCCACTCACCCTGTATATATATATATATATATATATATATATATATATATATATATATATATTATATATATACGAAGATTTGATAACAGCATTAGAAGAAAATGATACGAAGTATACAATCATTATGGGAGATTTCAACCCAAAATTTGGTAAAAAGGAAGAAAATACTAAAAAGAAAATAGGAATGCATGGTTATGGCACACGAAATGAAAGAGGAGAAAAATTATATAACTTCTTAGAATAACAAAATTTATATACCATGAAAACACACTTCAAGAAATCAGCAAACCGAAAATGGACGTGGATATCTCTCGATAAAAAGACAAAAAGCGAGATCGATTACTTCTTGTGTGGGAACAAAGACATTTTTGAAGAAATAACTGCTCTCAATCGATTCACAACTGGCAGCGATCATCGCTTTTTAAGAGCAAGGATTTATATTAAACAGACGAAAACCAGCAGAAACAGGCCACATAATCATTGTAATCAGATAGATCAAACTAAAATACGACAGAAGGGAGATAAGTACAAAAAAGTCTTAAGAATTGAGAAAAGAATTTGTAGAACATTATCAACAAGAACACTCCGACATGAAGACAATTAATCGAAGAAATGCAACGAAAGCTCTTGAAAGCAGGACTGACTGTTGCAAAGAAAACGAAAAATAAAGAGGACAGAATAAGTGATGGAATAAAACGGTTGATGGAAAAGAAAAAGCACATTTTTAAGCGAAGGAAAGCAAAATTCTAATGGTTTCAAAGAATTGAATAAACAAATAAAGAAGGGAGTAAAGGAAGTTTTAAGGATCTATAATGAAAACAAGGTAGAAAAAATAATAAAAAAGAACCGATGCCCGAAATGCTTAACATCAAACTTAGGAAAACCTTAATAATCTCATTGAAGGATAAAGATGGAAAAGAAATAAGAAAACAGAACGAAATCCTAAAAGTTACTCAAACAATTTTCCGTGATGAATGTAAACGAATGTCAGAAATACTCCCTAACCTAGAATCTTTCGAACTAAAACAAGCTATGGCACAACTAAAGAACAATATGGCTCCGAGCCCAGATGGAATACTGATAGAAATGTTGAAGGACGGAAGTGAAATTATTCTCGAATGTCTTTACAAGGAATAAGTCCCAGATGATTGGAATGAAAGTTTGACAATACTTCTCTTCAAAAATGGAGACAGGGGAGATCTGAAGAGCTATGGGCCAATATCTCTGCTGTCCCAAATGTACAATCTGTTTATGAGAGTAGTAACTAATAGGTTAACGTCGAAGCTCGATAGCGATCAACCGGTAGAGCAGGCAGGATTTCGAAAGAGTTACAGTACAGCGGATCATCGTCTTACAGTCAGAAAGCTAATAAATAAAACCAATAAATATCACTTGAACTTATACATTGACCTCGTTGATAATAAAATGGCATTCGACTCCATAGAACTTTGGGCAATAGAGAGAGCTATGAAAAACTGCAGAATAGATTCCCAATACCGAATGCTCATACATAAATATTAACAAAAAAGCTAAAATGAAAATACAAATAGATGCGAAAACTAAAGCTATACCAATTATTAGAGGAGTTCGTCAGGGAGACGTATTTGAGATACGCTGATGACATTGTATTAGTATAATATATGTATAATACTATATATAATCCGGGTATTATTCCGAGAGATTGGCTCAAATCAATATTTATTACATTACCAAAAAACCTAATGCAAGGGAATGTAATGAACACCGTATAATTAGTCTAATGAGTCACACACTAAAAATATTCTTAAAAATTATCCATTTAAGAATTTTCAGAAAAGTGGAACAAGACATCACTGAAACCCAATTTGGATTTAGGAATGCCATGGGTACACGAGAGGCATTATTTGGATTTAACGTCCTCATGCAAAGATGTATGGACGTAAACCAACCACTCTATGTTTGTTTTATTAATTATAATAAGGCGTTCGATAAGGTCCGACACAACCGTCTTATACAGTTACTTAAAGAGAAAAACATTGACAAAAAAGACTTAAGAATAATAACTCATCTCTACTTTAACCAAACAGCAAAAGTCAGAGTCGACAGAGAACTTTCGGAGAAAGTAGAGATAAAAAGAGAAGTAAGGCAAGGTTGCATACTCTCCCCCTTATTGTTCAATTTATATTCGGAAGAAATAATTAAAAAATCACTCAAAAATGTAACAATTGGAATAAAAGTCAACGGCAGACCCATCAACAATATCAGATATGCCAATGATACTATACTAATTGCAGAGAATATACAAGATCTACAGACACTTTTAGATAATGTAGTAAATGCTAGTGAGAAAAGCGGACTAACGCTTAATGCTAATAAAACAAAATTTATAACAATTTCCAAAACACAACAAGACAGTTTAAACATAAGAGGAGTTCCAATAGAAAAAGTAAAAAAATACAGATATCTTGGTACAATTATTAATGAAAATACCGAGTATACAGAAGAAATAAAAATGAGAATTGGATAAGCTAGAGCAACATTTAATAAGATGAAAAAAGTATTATGCAGTAGAGACCTTAGTTTACAACTCAACATAAGAATATTACGTTCTTATGTGTTTTCGGGGCTGCTGTATGGGGTGGAGGCCTGGACCTTAAAGAAAGAGGTGAGCGATCGACTTGAAGCATTCGAGATGTGGACCTACCGAAGAATATTAAAAATAAGTTGGGTAGTCCGAATAACAAATGTTGAGGTCCTCAGAAAGATGACAAAGGAAATGGAAATCATTAATACGATTAAGATAAGAAAGTTACAGTATCTCGGCCACGTTATGAGAGGGGATAAATATGTGTTGCCACAAACCATAATGCAGGGAAAAAGACAAGAAGAACGAAGTATTGGAAGAAGACGCATCTCCTGGCTCAACAATCTGAGAAATTGGTATAATTTGTGAAATTGAAAGAAGACGAAGAAGAAGATGACATTGAAATATTTGCTACAAGTTTCGAATAACTACAGACCATGATGACGCAACTATTTCAAGCTTCGGAAAAAGTAGGTCTTAAGATGAACTTGGAAAAAAATAAAAATATAAACAAAAACATCGAACATTAGAGAAATAACGTGGAACGGCATAAATTTAGAAACAGTAAGTGAATACATCTACCTGAGACAGATGAAGAATGAAAGTTAACCAAAAAATATCGAACTGCTGAAATTACCAGAAGAATAAGGTTAGCATGGGCAGGATTTGGAAAACTGAGTTGGATCTTGAAAAGCACTAAAATAGAACAATCTTTGAAAACCAGAATTTACGATCAGTGTATCCTCGCTATACTCACGTATGGTTCACGGACGTGGACACTCACCAAGACTAATATGGATAAAATAGTAAAAACACAAAGAGCACACTGAAGGACTAAAAATTTATTGTCCTAATGTAGTTGCTTTTGGCCGTCCTGTTACAGCTCGTCTTTTATAAAGACCAGTTTCTCGGTACTTTACTGCCAGTCGTGAAACTGTCGACTGATTTACACCCACTAAATTTGCTACATATCTCTAACTCCTTCCGTCTTTCAAACTTTTTAAGTGTCATCTCCCCGACGAAGGTTAGCAATCATCATGGCTATTCTGACCTTCGAGGCAGCTGCTTGAACAATTGCCTTGAGCTGCAACCAAACCACTCTCTCAGGTTCTTCAACCAAGAAACGCGTCTTCTTTCTACCCCCTATTTTTCCTTGAATTATGAGTCACAAGATGTTGTATCTTTCTCTTCCAATTTTCACATTTGATCGTTGGCTGTAGTGTAAATTTGATATCAATGTTACATCCCTCACATCCAGATTCTTGTTTTTGAGTACTTCTATAAGTCAGTCATGTTTTACCCTATCGAATACCTTGTTGTAGTTTATAAAGCATACATAAAGTCGATTAACATCCAAATATCTTTGGCTCAGCACGTTAAAAGAAAATAGTGCCTCTCTTGTACCCACTCTATTTCGAAATCCAAACTGGAAATCGTGTGTATTCTATTGTGGATGATTTTTAGCAGGGTTTTTAAGGTATGTGACATTAGACATATCATTCGATATTCATTACATTCTTTGGCATTTACTTTCTTTGGTAGACAAATAAATGTTGAAGTCAGCATTTCAGGTGGAATGATTCCTGTGGAATAGATTCTATTCAGTAGTTGGACTAAAAGATCTATGTTTTTTTCATTGACCAGTTTTACAATTTCACTTGGTATTTCATCTGGACTAACAGCTTTATTATTTTTCATGGACTTTACTGCATGCAAACTGTATACTTTTTACAAAAGTAAAATAAAGCCTGATAATATAAAACCAGACAAAATAGCAATTAAGATTTTTTTTCTTAAACAGTAAGCTGTATTCACAAATTTCTTTTTAATAATTATTCTTGCCTTAATATTCTTAAGGACCAGAAAGAAATAATTTAAATTAACCAAATGCTGTCAGAAATATTTTTAATTTTATAATCGATGCGATACTTTTTTGGCGGAGTATATATACAGGGTTACGCAATTGAACTGTTACCAACTTCACATCGATATATCTGGCAAACGATAATGATAGCTACATCAAAGTTAGCCTGATAACACTTAAGTATATTGTTTATAAGCCGGCAAAAGTATTTGCATTTATACGAAGAATGTTGCGTTTCGATTTAATTTGAGTCTCTTACCACTCCCTGACACGTGTTTCTGGGTCTACCCGTCATCAGAAGGAGTTTGTAAGAAGACTCAAACCAAATCAAAACGCACCGATTACTCTGGCAATTACATAAAAATAACTATCAGAGTATGCAACTAGAGTCCTCTAGTGAGGAAAGATGAAGATACGTCGATAGCAATTAAAGTAAACTGTGTACCCAAGCTTAAACAAGCCATTCAGAGCGGTACTGAGAATAAATATTCCACTATGTACCAACAATTTACCCATATAAATTACCATCAATTTTGTACTCATTGCGTCGAGTAGGGACGATAAATATACGAAGAATGTTGCGTTTCGATTTAATTTGAGTCTCTTACCACTCCCTGACACGTGTTTCTGGGTCTACCCGTCATCAGAAGGAGTTTGTAAGAAGACTCAAACCAAATCAAAGTTTTTAGTTTTATACATACAACAAAAGTTATTCGCAATGGAATTTAAACGTAATAGTGTGATTGCGTTATATTTGGCTCTAAAATCACAATCAGCTATTGTTCGTCAGCTCAAACACCTCAAAGTGAATAAAATGTTTGTGTATCGCACCATAACTCGTTACAAGGATACTGGTAGCATTGCCAAACGCTATGGTGGTGGACGAATAAAAACAGCAACATCTCCTGAAATGGTTCGGAAAGTAAAGGCTCGAATTGAGCGAAATCCACGTCATAGTGGTAATCAAATGGCCAAAGAACAGAAAATATCCTAGCGAAGCATGCAACGAATATTGAAAAAGGAGCTCAAGGTCAAGCCGTACAAGTTCCAAAAAGCACACAATCTTACACCAAAGCAAAAAAAAGTTCGGCTTGAAAGAGCAAAGGAGTTGTTACGCCTGCACGAACGTGGCGAATTTCCGAACATAGTGTTCCCTGATGGGAAAATTTTTCCCATTAAGACGTTCATAAACTCTCAAAATGATCATGTTTACTTGACCGAACGCACCTTCAAAAGTTTGAGCTTACGAACGGCCACCCGAAGTAATTTCCCATCTTAAGTAATGGTATGGGCAGCTGTAACCGCCGATGGACGCTCTCCAATCGCTTTTATTGAATCTGGTGTCAAAGTCAATGCAACTTATTATCGAAAAAATGTTTAAGAAGCTGCTGTAAAGTCGTGGGAACGCAAACATTTCGGTTGTAGATCATGGACGTTCCAATAAGACGCGGCACTGTCTCATAAAGCTAGTGTGAACCAAGAATGGTTAAAAAACCATGTTCCACACTTTATTTCATCCACACAATGGCTTTTGAATTGATCAGACGCCAATCCGATGGACTATTCCATCTAGTCCATTTTGGAGAGAAAGGTGAGGACTAATAAATATGCCAGTATGCGGCGCTGAATGGGAAATTATACGTGAATGGGCCAAAATACCGGTAGATCACATTCGTGCAGCATGCAACTCATTTTTTGATCGTTTGAAGGCCATAGTCAAAGCAAAAGGTTTCCACATCGAGCTAAAGTGAGTGGATTCTGAAATTTTGATTATTTTCACATATTTTGTCATTTGAATCAATAAAAAATAATTTCACACAAAAAAATTATGGTCATTTGAATAGGTAACAGTTCAATTGTCTAACCCTGTAGATTTTCTTGCAACAGGTATATACAATTAAATAATAATTGAAAGTCCCAAGGAAAACTTATTTTCTTAAGCAATAATCAATATAGACATTTTTAAAATAATTTTCCGTTGTTATTCGATTATCTAGATTCTCAAGTATTAATTATTCAATACATTTTCACACAGGCAATTGATCTCTGTAATCTCTGTGATCTCTCCTATCTAACTGAAAATTAAAGGTCAGGATCGGCAATTTACGATCTGTTTGTCTAAGTCAAATAGTAATATTTTGACATGTACTATATAAAAACATAAATGAAAAAATATATTTTTACTTACCGGCCAAACCCACAATCTAAATACCAAGCATCCACATGGGAGATTATAATCTTATAGCCATCAGATAGAAGATCAGGCGTATCCGACCACTGACTAGCTCCCCAACTCTGCACGACGATCTGTGACTTATTTAAATACTTAGTAATATAAGGTCGCTTAGTAAGCTTACTAGACCAGATTATAACGTGTGGTATTTGCTTTCCAGCGTTAGCTGCAGTCAGCTTATTCATAGCTTTGACAGTAAACTCTCCCCACAAGTCGTGGAGGTCAGTGAAGTTGTACACAGTACTGGATTTTTGTAAGTGTTGGGACCAACACTCTAAATTCACTTCATCTCCTCCTATATGAAATATTTCGTTTTCGTCGCTTAAATCTAAAAGATCTTTGTAGAGCTTCTCGAGGATTTCGTAAACATGAGGGTTGTCAGGATTGAGTTGGCCGCATGGTGGTTCGCCACAATACAGGCTCCAGGGTCGTTCGTTGATACATACTGCTAGTTCACCTAGTCCTGAAAAAATATAAAAAATATTCACTAAAAGAATATATACAATAAAGTCCAAAATTATGAGCTTTTTAAAGCGTTTATAAATCTACTCAAAAAATGAATGATTATGTATTAAAGAACATCAGACATATTTTGTTTTTATTTCATCTTTAGATGTATTAAAAATAATCTATTTTAGTCCATTAAAATGTTACATTTTTTATGCCTTAAAAGAAATATGGAAAAAAACATATTGCAATAAATGAGATGAGAAGATTGTATGTATCAATTTTGGGTATTAGTCAAATGAGGTGGCCCGGATCTAGCCAATGCAATGTGGATTATCTGAAGTCTATTATTCAGGGAAGATAGGAATTATCATCCTAGTGGGGTAGAAAAACTTGAAAAGTTCTACACAGATGTAAAAACTGTTTATTTATTTATTTAGCGTATGGACTTTCACAGTACGATAAATATACAAATACAATAATATATACATATATATTAAATATATTATTCAAACACTAAAGATAGAATGAATGACACTAAATATTAATGTCCAATTTACATAGCCGTTCAATTGCTTCTGGGGAACATTCCGCAAAGTCCTGGAGGTTTCCACGGTAGGCACGATTCAAGCAGTCTGAAACACAATGGCTTATGGTCTGTCTAGATTGTCCGCAATCGCACTGTGGACTTTCTGCACGACCACACCTGAACAGCGAATCAGCACATTTACCATGTCCAGTACGTATACGATTAAGCCTTGCCCAAGTGGATCGGGGCAGATTTGATCCGATGAAAATCTGAGTTGGGGTGGATATCTTAATATAGTTCGATTCTACTGTTGGCATCCATCTTGTTGTCCATTGCCTATATTTATCATAGGAATTACCAATTTTTTGGGCAGATCGTATTGGAGGATTTCTAGATCTCAGTCGCTGGTGCTCTTTTGAGATGTCTGGGATATCTTGATGTATTGGTAATTGTACGTTGGCTACAATTTTCTGATACTCCCTCACTAATGCTGCTGTACGGCGTAGATCTGGTGGAGCAATATTGCTCAGTGTAGGCAGCCATCTCACTGGCGTTGGTTTTATTGTTCCAGTGATTATTCTCATGGTTTGGTTAAGTTGGACATCGATTTTGCTTGTATGTGCACTATTTAGCCATACTGGTGCACAATATTCTGCCACCGAAAAAACCAAAGCTAGAGCAGAGGTCCGAAGAGTATCTGCAGAAACACCCCAAGTAGTTGTTCCAGCAAGTTTTAATATTAAGTTATTTCTTTTTATTAGTTTACCGGCTACGTTTGTAAAATGACTTTTGAAGGTGAGTGTTCTATCAAGTGTGACGCCTAGATATTTGGGGTTGTTGTTATGTTTGAACGCTGTATCATTTAGAGTTACATTGAGAGTATCGCCCGCAAGTTGATTCGACAGGTGAAAGAGACAGGTTTCAGTTTTGCTTGTGTTAGGACGTAAGCGCCAGTTCTTACAATAGTTACTTAGTGTAGTTTAGTCCTCGTTCTCCTGCTTCTTTACTATTATCTTGGAAGCCAATGGCCAGGTCGTCAGCATAAGCAAATTTTCTCGATTTTGTTTCAGGTATATCTGCTATATAAAGGTTGAATAATAAAGGAGCTAGCACTGAGCGTTGAGGTAAGCCGTTGTTAAGTTTTCTAACGTTACTCTGTGCACTATTCATATATACCTGAAACAGTCTGTTAGTCAGTAGATTGTTTATCAGCTGACAAGTTTTGAGGCAAGGTATGATTTTCATCAGCTTATACATAAGGCCCTCTCTCTTCACACAGTGTCATAGGCAGCCGTGAAAACTATAAATGGCAGATTTTTCGCGTCTTTCAAAGCCAGCTTCAATAAATGTAGTTAAGGACAACACTTGGTCACAGCAACTTCGTCCTCTTCTAAATCCAGCTTGTTCAATTGGTACAGCATCCTCAATGGTGTTACATATTTGGTTATATAAAAGTCGTTCTAGTAATTTATAACAGCAACTGAGTAAGGCAAAAGGCCGGTAACTTTCAGGCAGCTTGATGTCTTTGCCAGGCTTCTGGATTGCGATAATTTTTGTTCTTTTGAATTCTGTACAAACTGTTACTGGTCAACTCAAGATTAGAGATCTCACCATTCTGATGGTTGACCTAAATACTAAAGTAAGAAAAGGCAAAAAAAGTAATATTATTGAAGAGTTTGGACTGAGCAATAGAAATGAAAGAAGATTATTTCGCAGATTTTTGCAAAGAATATAATCTTTGTATTATGAATACCTTTTTCAAACTACTTAAACGGAGATTATATCTCCGTTCATAATCTCCAGATAATCTCTATATTGCGGAGCTTGGTAAGCAACTTTTAATGTCCCATTTTCAACGACGTTCCAATATCCCAAATCTGCTTTTTCAGTTGAGACTCAGGAACCGAAATATAACCGGAGGAAAGCTATTAGTTTCTCAAGAGACAACTCCAACTATAAAACCAAGATGTTCTTTTTGCCCTGTAAGGAAAAACAGGTTTACCCAACATTATCGTACTAACTGTAAGTTGCCATATGTAAAGAGCACACTGATTTAACAAATTTTATGCGTAATGCGTACAATATTTTTTGGGATAAATCCCCTTATTTGTTTTATTCTAGGGTAATATGTATATTTTTTAAATTTACCTAGTAATTTTTTTGCAGTTTTGTTTTAGAAAAAATATAAGTTTATAGTTTTTTGTGAGTTAATGCCCAATAAACTTAAACAACAAGTACTAATGACTCATTTATTTGACCTATACGCATATATTAGATAAAATCTAATACTCGAGTGATGGCGTAATTTTTTCGCATTTTTTTTTTAGATCTCACCACGATTATTTATTTAACACCTTTATAAAACTGAGTTCATTTGCGGCAAAATCCAAAAGTGCATACTAAATTTGCATTATTTACCTTTAAAACGCATCTTGATCAAAAAGTATTGAAATTTTTACCGTCGAGCTGATACAAATTTTATCGAGCATTGAATTCGCGCGCGTAACTGATATTAAAAATCGCCGATCTCTTCAATCGTTGTTTCTGAAAGAACACACACAAAACTGCTATACAAAAATGCTAATAAACGTTTTTGTTCAAAATTATCTTACATTTTTTATTTGAAATGATTCTTTCTAAAAATTCAGCTTGCTCGTATGATTTTTAGAGGTTTAGTGGCATTTTCGTCTCTGTCAACTGGAGTATAAATAATTTGGCTAATAAATGATCTTGCTTGTTAGTGTTTAAGATTATCATCTGAATAATATTAATAGGAACAGAGATTGGAAAAATTTAATAAAAATAAATAAATATCAAAACACTTACCTTTAGTTGGTCCCCAAGCCCAGCCGTTTCCAACATGCGCGGGTGTATCAACTTCTAAGATCACTCTTATTCCTCTCACCCTAGCAAAGTGTACCAGATCTTTCACTTCTGCAGGACTATACGTCATTTCCGGCGAGTAAGAACCAGTTTTTGATAATAAAGGTACACTTGGTGCTTCCAGTGGAAAGCTTTGGCTATCTGTAACGTGCCAATGGAATACATTCAGTTTACTGGCAGCCATTCCTTCGAGAACCCTTCTAAGACTGTCAATAGACATAAAGTTACGTGATGTGTCCACCATAAGTCCTCTATAGGAAAAAGTCGGCTTGTCCTTTACGGTAGCGCCTTTTATAACTTTTAACATACCCTCGTTGCTATAAGGATCCCACCAAATTAGTTGCGAGAGCGTTTCTAAAGCACTTCTAGCTCCGAAAAAGGTTTTAGCTGTAATATTAGCACTTATCGTACTATCTAAAGGTTTAACAACTAAAGTATAGCTTTCATCTGTCTGTAGAGTTAATTTTGTGATTTTGGCGTCTCCTATATTCACTTTTATAAGAAATTCCGTCAAATCCGCTTTTTCTTTAACATAATCTGATCGTTCTACTAAGCTAATTACGTTATCATTGAATAAAGCAAAGGCTTCTTGCAGCAGCACTTTCGCTGGCTCTGCGACGTCGCTTTCAAATTTAAAATGATTATGATTAAACGTAAGGGCTTTGCTACCTAAAGTGACGGGGCCAGTGGGCTGAGGCCAGAGCTGCGTAGAACCACACAACATGCTGCATGTTGCTAGTGAAACGGGCTTTTGGGTTTCTTTTATGTATCGCCTTTCGCAACGCTGGTTGATGCAGTCCCATGTCCATTGGGAAGGATTGGATTTCCTGTAATAATAAGGGCTTTAGTTAGTGGTAGTCTGTGATGTGTTTTGTGTGTTGGGTATTTGCGGGTAAAATGCAATTAGGGATCAAATGCTCTGTGGCATATTCAGTGTTGAAAAAGAGAGACAGTCGGCATGATATGTATCTGAGATGAATAAAAGGCTATAAATGTAGTATTAGTAGTGGTCATTTCGAGAACTTATATTGTTTTTGGACTCATTTCAATGTAACTAACATTTTTTAATTAATAAATTATTAATGTTTTGCCTGTGATAAAAAACATTTATTTAAAAGTATCTCGTTTTTATTAAATTTTATAAATGTTTAAGTTTATTATTAAAAAATGTAGGTTTTAAGTTTATTCATAAAAGTCGTATTTATTGATGGATTCGACCGTTACTTGATGGAAATTCATTTAATGTAACAATAAAACACTAAAAACTTTGTTTTCCAACTTCCACAAAATTTATTTTAAATCTTATCACTACAGCTGTTTCGGCTGATTGGCTTTCTCAAGTGATCTATTTTTGGCTTGGGTTTACAAATTTATAGTCTCTAATGAAATAGGTTGAGGAGGGGAGAACTGTTTGTCTCAAGTTGATCATTCAGAATTATATCTGTGTTTTTTAATTTGTTGATTTCCACAGATTCTAACAAAGATAACTTAAGGCATTTATTTTGAATGTGAAGAATTTTAAATTTGTCATTAAAAGAATGATTATGATCTAGAAGGTGAAGTGCGTATGTCGAATCTGTTTTTCTATTCTTGAAAGCCCTTTTATGTTCTGCTATTCGTTTATCAAAATTTCTACCAGTACTTTCGCTTCCTGCAAGTACTTGGGCAAGATTTAATTAATAAAACTGTGCTCGATATCTGCCTTTTATTTGATCAAAGATTTGTATATGTTGTTAAAGAGTATAGTTATTGCACTTAAATTGTCTTCGTCTATAAGTTTAATAGTCCAGGCTGTGAGGCCGCTCCCGTTGGGAAAATGTTTCTGATTCGGTTTCTTTGTGGATTCCGGTTCAAAAATGTCCCGTTTAAACAAATCTGAAGGGTGCCGGGCGAAATTTTTGGGCAGAAATTGTTTAAACAATTTTTTTTTAAACAAAGTCCAAAAATAGTTTTTTTTTAATCTGGAAAACGTTTTTTAGGTTTTTTGGACCATTTTAAACAAAAAAAGTCTCTTGTCATTTTTCTCTAAAGTTGATAGTTTTCGAGTTATAAGCGATTTAAAGTCTGAAAAACACGAAAATACGCATTTTTGAGGCCTGAAAACACATATGTAAATTATTATTTTTGAGGTTAGCAAGTGTCTAAATTAAAGTTTAAACATTCAACTTCAAGAATGTGAAGAGTAATCGGGAGTTATTTTAATTTAGACCTTGTTTTTTAATTGTTAAGTATGCGCGTACACTCGATTTTTCAGCCGATGTGGCGCAGCGCGCTACCGTGCGCCTATATCGTACTTATGCATAGTTTACATATACTTACAAATAGTTATTATTTATTGAGTATATATTTATTTATATCAATTGAGTTATAATATAAATTTCGTCTAAAATCTAATAATACAGTTACATAAAATAATTGTACAAAAGATTGTTAAATAACACACTAATATCACTCAGTAAAAGTATCTTTGTTTTCACAAAAATCTAAATCACATCCACATAATGGTACACAGTTGACATAATTTTTCTTGCAGTTGCAAGCATTAGTTTTGCAAGTCTTTTTGCATTTGCACGGTTTCCCAACCCACCACTATCAGACATATAATATCCATATTGTGTAAAATCGAGAGTTTGATAACGGGAATATATGGCATTTCGCCAAATATATGTTTTAGCGAAAGCTCTTAACAAGTGTTGGTAAAGTGCGTCAGAGGTACAAGGTATATTGGCTAGATTAAATTAAATTTTTCAGTCACACTGTCCTTTTCGTCGAAGAGCAGCATTTTGTATTGTTATGTAAAAATCTACTTTAGGTTTTTGCACTAACTTAATATTGTTGATGTTATTACAAAAAATACAAACTAAATTTTCTTCGGTAAGTTTCATTTAAGAAGAGGTACGGAAAAAGACATTTTAAATCCATTCACAATTTTTTTAATAACACATTAATAATATAATACCCTTTTAATGGACATTAAACAATAGTCTTCCTAATGATCGTTTAAGTAATAACAAATCAAGTATGAGCGCGCGATTGTTAAACAGGTAAAAACTTGCATTTTTGCGATAGTATAATATTGTTTTTTAAACACCGCGCAATTTAAAATTAAGTTTACTAATATTAATATTTACTGCATTTTATTATTTAAATAATAATTTAAAAATATTATTTACAATTGATATAAATAAATATATACGGTTATTACATTGCGATGATTGATTTATTTAATTAGCCCAATGACAATAATTAATACCTACATAAATAAATTATGGAAAAAACTATGTTAATAAACTTCAAGGATTTGTTCGGGTTTTTTTGCGTAAGTGTATGTAAACTATGCAAAGTACGATACAAGCGCACTCTAGCGCGCCGCGGTGGCTGAAAAATCGAGTGTAGGCGCATATTTAACAATTAAAAAACAACGGTCTAAATTAAAATAAGCCCCGATTACTCTTCACAATCTTGAAGTTGAATGTTTAAACTTCAATTTAGACACTTGGTAACTTTAAAATAATAATTTACATATATGTGTTTACAAGTCTCAAAAATGCGTATTTTCGCGTTTTTCAGACTTTAAATCGCTTATAACTCGAAAACTATCAACTTTAGAGAAAAATGACAGGTGACCTTTTTTGGTTAAAATGACCCAAAAAACCTAAAAAAACATTTCCCAGATTAAAAAAAAAAATATTTTTGGAATTTGTTTAAAAAAATTAAACAATTTCTGCCCAAAAATTTCGCCCGGCACCCTTCAGATTTGTTTAAAGGGGACATTTTTAAACCGGAATCCGCGAAGAAACCGAATCAGAAACATTTTCCCAACGGGAGCGGCCTCACAGCCTGGTTAATCAGCTCGATAAGTACTTCATCTGGCCCAGGGGCTGTGCCAGATTTTGAGGTGTTTATAGCATGTTGGACTTCAGATTTTAATATTATTGGAGCTTCCTCGTTATCAATTTGTGTTAGTTCCGTTCTTGTGTCCACGAAAATATCTTCAATATATTTAGTCCATAGTTGTTTTATTTCAATTGGATAATTAATTTATCGTTTTTGTCAATTAATCGGTTAGGTGTATTTGTTCGTGATTTTCCATATAATTATTTCACATTTTTATGTAAATTATAATGATCATGCTTTTTCTGCAATTCTTCTACTTCGATACATGTTTCCATCATCCGCTTTTCCTTGGCCTCTATTATTTTGTTCATTATTAATTTATCTTCTTCTCCGTACTTATTGGGTTTTTGTTTCTATATTTTCTTCTTTGTTCCATGATTTCCAGTATTTCTTGTGTCATCCAACGTTTAAGGCTTTCTGCTTTCTTTGTAGAGTTTATTTCTGTGTTTTATAAGAGAATCTTTGATTTGTTTCACGTAATGTTCACATTCTCAGTGATTTTCATTTCTGATGTTAATTTCTTTATTTCTTGGTTAATAAAGTTGAAGCCTCAGTACGGATTTCATTTATCTTGAGTAACTGAGTATTCACCTTAAAACTTTTGCTTCTTATCTATTTTCCCTGAGTTTTATTTTAAAGACAAATATTTTATGCTCTGAGGGAACATTTCCTCCAAGAAAAGTCTTAACGTTTACAATGGAATTTCTAAATCTTAGTTTGGTTAGAATAAAGTCGATCTGATTTCTAATGCAATTTTGTGTTATTGAAGCGATGATCAAATCATCGCTTCAGCAAAAACACTTCCTTTGCGATCATGGCTTAGCGATCATTGCACAGCGACAACAGCTAAACCATAATCGAAACAGACGTCCCAGTAAAAACGTATATTTATATTAGAAATGGTATTTTTGTTCCATTAGTTTTTGCCTTTTAAGTTTGTACTAAATTTATTCAAAAAGTAATGCGTCTCGACATATTTTTTTAAGGACCAATAATTAATTTCATTAGCTTTAAATCGAGAATTGGATCTAAAGATTTCTTCATGAGCAATCTTATATGGCCGTTAAGAAGTTCTTGCCCAACGGCTGGCAAGAAGCGAGTATTTGAAGCTTCGCGAGACTGTTCCTCGTATTGTTTCATGGAGAAGAATTACTAAAGATACAGGTAGGCTATAGACAAAGAAAAATGAAAGGAAGTTATTGAGCTGGCCAGGGCTGACAATGTGATATTGGGCCAGGTTAAGTGGATGAATATATTGACTTACTGTTCAAGAGTATAAAGATAGTCGGTTGAGCTGTAACTAGTTAGTAGATGTATAGTTAGCCAACTGCGTTGTATTTCCTTTCGTATGTATTAATATTGTAGCTGCTTTGTTCATATTTTTGGAATTAAAAAAGTAGACAAAAGACAATTATCAATGGATAGAGATGGATAGATTAAGATGGGACAAACTCTGTCAAAGGCTTTGCTTATACCCAGGATGGCTGTTTATGTATATCGCTTGTCGTTGTATGTTGTATCGCTATGTATATCCACCTGCTATGTGGACCAAGTGATAAGTATTTGTAGTTCGCTGGAATGTTGAGCTATGAATCCGAATTGTGCATCTGGGATTATACCTAACTTGTTTGTCTCTGACTGAAGTCTGGTTTGGACGACTCACTCTACTTCTTACTGACTGCTGGAAACAAGCTAATAGGCCTGTAATTTTGCGAAAATATGTTCTTTTCTAGCTTTGGTATTATGATTATATTGGCTTCCTTTTGTCCGTTTAGGAAGAGCCTATATCTTAGTATTGCGTTTGCTATATGTGTCAGATATACAATTGTTTTCAAAGAAAAATCCTTCAGAGCTCTGTTAGCGCTTTTGTTTGGCCAGGTGCTTTCTTTGGTGAGGTTTTTTTTCATCAGTTTATTTATTTCTCTTGGTGACACCTATTTTAATAAAACAGTCATATTTATCACACGTCTTATTTTACGCTATATCTATGGGTGGTGATTAGGCATAATATACTGAATAAA